CCACTACACCAGAGAAGAATAGCTACGAAGTCTGTCAATGCATATTAGGATAATTTATGGTTTATGACGGAACGTGCATAAAATATGCTAAATATGACAGGAGTACACAACGTTTCTGGCGCACCATACGCAAAACTTCGTGGACTCGTGTTCATTGAGAGACGATGTAGACGGCTTGAACGTGAACATTGCAACGACCACGTCAAGAACGAACGTTTCTCCGAAATTAAAGATGAAGATAGTCGTAGGAAGCCTCAAACGCTGGTTCAATGAAGAGAAGAACTTTGTGTACGAGTCTAACTCGTGCGCAAGTGGCAAAGTTTGCAAAAATTTCCGACAGGTGAGAAAGGTCCTGTCAGACCATGTACAAACTTGGTCTTTTTCAGATGAGCGCTCAAGGCGTTACACGCTTCGGATGCGCAATGACGGAATGCCCCCAGGTAAAAAGTACCACAAACAAATATCAGAACCCGGAAAAGAAGTACTTGTACTTCGCTTGCAAGTTCCTCAAAACGTAACGCATCATGTGACCACATATAGCAAGTACTAATGCCGTTTTGTTTTCAGGATAAATGCAGCAACCACGCCACTGTATGAAAAGGGCAAGCAAACGTGCTCAATCGCCGGTTATCCCCATTTGGACAAAAATGGACTGTGCACTGCCACGTTCAACGCGAAAAACACACTACGTACCTACGGCCAGTCATCGTAATACTCGAAGAATCAAGTGATGCGCTGGACTTGTTTTCAGTGAATAAATTAAGCTATTTATATGTGTTATTTCTTAATCTGATCGATGAATAATGAGCTGTGAACTAGATTCAAGTTTAGCAACCTGTTCAAGTATCATCTACTAGATTAAACCTGGTTTGTAAGCACTGTTTTGAAGGATGATTATTAATTTGCCAATATGCAAATGGCGCGCTGGCGTTGTTTTCAGTGAATAAAGGAAACTATTCATTCCCTATTTCACATTTGATATTTGAATAATCAACTGTGAGCTATTTTCAAGGATTTTTTATGTCAAAATTTTAATTCTTGCCCCATTTGCAGAGAACTGTTGTTTAGAAAAGAATTATCCCTAATGATAACTATTGGGGATAATTCATCACATGGTATCAAAATCGGAATAAACTAAAAGTGTGTGTTATGTCATGAAACTGTGAGAAGATTTATAACTATTGCGAAAGCAAACAATTCTGAATATTCTTGCCTTTTTTGCCTACCAGTATCATTACTGTATCATAAAATTATGAAAAAGAAAGCCATAACAACTAGCACCACGATTATGACGTCAATCATCATGATAAAAATTATGGGCAGAAGGAGAAGAAATGCTGATCACGATGATACCATGATACCGAATGTGTCGATGACGAATATTAACGATCTGGCAACCACTGAATACAGAAAACGCTTCGGAGACAAATGTAATGATGATCACTACTTTAATGAATTCTCTCGAAAACTTATGAGAAATATACAAATTTACGATCGATAGCAGTATTCCGCAGAAGTAGCTCAAATTCATAGAAATTTTAACAGATGCGCAATCCACGACCATTACGATCACCAGTGCTGCCATCATCGTCGTTACTTTCATTATCATTATTATTGTTATCATCATCGATAATAACAAGAGCCTCCATTGTTAAACTCGACATATCGAGAAAAAAGTCATTTTTTTTGAACAACAGAGGTTAAACCAGTGAGTTCGTCAGCGGTCAACCTAGGAAGTGACAGCAGCTGTAATGAAATAACCTTTTCACTTCAGCGAAACAAGACCAAAATCAGGATCTTCAGGCTATTACTTACAAAATTACTTATTCCAGAGTTGTAACGTGAAACCTACCAACTTGACAAGGAGAGCGTGAGAGCATTGAAGAACGGCAATTGCACCCAGGTGGATCATGGAGTAGCATTACAATCACCAGGAAAGAACGGCACAAGTCTTTGTCATTTCAAAAACCCTTACATCATCAAAAAACTGCAAAACTGCGTCCTACACTGATTAATACACGTTCTACAATACCAAAACTTCCTAAGAAGGACGAGATTGGTGAACACCGAGAAATAGAAAAAATTGTTTATTAATAACCAAGTGAAAGTATCATGATTACTGCAAAGAAGAGCTGGTTCCTATGCAGTTTTGGTCGGTCTTTCAATCGCTGTCCATTATGCGAGACCGGCTTAGTGATGATCTAATCAATCATTCGATGTGATACAATTTCCAGCATGTTCCATATGGACTTTATTATCGCTACCTGGTCATTCGATCAAATTGGGCACACTGCTACCTCTAGTCACGACCTTCGACAGGCTCGTTTTAAAAGCAGTCTTGATAATCGTCGTAGACTGATTATCACTGTAAAAGCACAGTCCATCACACGATCGTCGATAGAACATACAAGACAGCAATGAACATGGCAAGTTATACGTGTTTCACAAATCTCACTGACTCTTACAGACCAATAAATCACTCGAAACTGTTTTGTTACAAACTTTATGTACAAACTAACTTTTCTCACCATTCTGATATCACCTTGACACATCTCGGTTTATCGAACCGTTCGATACTAAAAGTCTATTAAAGAGCGTAAACTCCGATGGGATCAACAACTAAACCCTCCATATTACTGCAGGGAACATGAAAAGTTGATCGCATTCAAATTTGCGGTTCGAACATTGGCCGCTACCAGGCAACTGCGTTAAATAACTCTTGAAGCAAATACTTCTCCTTCGCCTGACAAAGGCAGGTATCAACTGGAGCCCTGAACCGCACGGTATTGGGCGAGTGACGAATCATGTTGTCATGACATGAAGTTTTGGCAGCCGCTGGCTGGGCTGACGGTAGCCTGCGGAATTTTGTACAGAAGAACGACGAAGAAAACAATGGAGTTATCATGAATACACGCTTCAAGCGACATCCCTCACCCCTAATCCTCAAATCATCTTCGACATAAGGGCCGCTCTGACAGGTTATTCATGGTCTGCAGCATCCTACGCAGAGGATCGATTTTCACGTGGCGTACAAAGCAAAGCAACTTAGATTTGCGCATTTAGTGCTTGAAGAGCTATAACAGTCCATATCTGTCAAACACTACAACTGAGAGTCACCCTCGGTTGCGCAAGGCTTTCGAAATGCTGTCTCCCGCGTCTACGCACAACGAATCTTGTTGACGACGGAAGTGAGGATAATCAAATACTGTGGTAACCTCAGATTCGATAAACAACACACACCTTTCCTTAGCTTTTTAGCATCGCGCTTTCAGAAGCTTAAAATCCAGGGAACTACATCATCCCCAACGTTGCATCAGGATCACTGCCAAGAGATGATCCTAAAAGAAGGTAGCAGAGCTTTCACAGTCAT